CTGCCTCAGCCTCCCAAATAGCTGGGACTTTAGGCACGCACCATCATGACTGGCTAAGTTTTTAAAAAAAATTTTTTTAGAGATGGGGTCTTGCCGTATTGTCCAGGCTGGTCTCAAACTCCTAGCTTCAAGTGATCCTCCCACCTCAGCCCTCCCCAAGTGCTGGGATCACAGGCATGAGCCACAGCACCTGGCCTTGCCTGCTCCTTCCTTAAGGGGAGAAGTCTTATCTAGTTCATTCCAGTATCTCCAGTACCTCGCATATTACCTGGTACAGGAGATACTCAGTAAATGTTTGATGAGTGAATGATTTTCTACAGCATTAGAGAGTGAAGTTCCATAGCTGCTTTATTTATTCTACCATCGGGTAAAGTTCTTAAATTACTTCCAAAGTTTCACTGGTAAATTCATCTAATCTGTTTAGTTTCCTGGTCAGTAACTTCCACAAATGTATCTCATATGCTCTTTACTAAAAGCAAAATCTTTATTATTAGAGATTTATTAACACAGAAAAACTAGTGCCATTAATAGTAAAAGTAGACTGAAGAATGCTCCGAGGAAAAACAGTGGCTTGTGTTAAAAGAAAGCAGAAGTCTAAAAGAAAGCCTCAGTGGGAAAAGTATCAATTGTAATTTGTTTATAGTTTTAGCCCTGTAGTTCATAACCAAAACTTAAGATATAGAAGTTATAATATAAACCAACCTGATACTCATCTCACTCACAGAAAATCTTAGAAATGTAATTAGAAGTAACACTATTTAGCACAAAAGACTACAGGTCCAAAATAAATACTCAAATAGATTCAAAAGAGTGTGGGATATATTTATAGAGAGCAATCAAGTTGACAACAATCATTAAGTACATACTTCGTTTACAAGGCATTACATTAGACACTGTGGGAAATATAACGATGACAAAGGCTGTCTTTGCTGTAAAATAAGCAATAAGCAAGACAGACTCATAAATGTAACTGAAGAAAGTAATAATGTATCTCAAATTGCAGAGATACAATATTAGATAGAATCAGAAGAAAGATTCTAGAAGGCCTCTGAGCTAAGTCTTAAAGGATTAATAAAATATAAATATGTAGAAAAGCATCAACGGAATTATAGTATCTTATACTATTTGCTATTTTTGATGTGTATTAATTTTTTTTCCCCTAATTCATAAGGACCTTGAAGGCAAAGAACTGTTGTCTTCCGCTCTACGGTGTGTAAGATTAAACATAAGCTGGACCTCCATCTAGGTCTACCTCCAGGTGGGGCTGCCAGGGAGGCGGGGAGACTTACCCTCAGGCTGTGTTTCCACCCGCAGTGGCGCTGAACTCTCTCCTGAGCCATGCTTATTTTGAGCCGTGACTCTAAAGATGTACACTGTCGCTGGCATCAGGTTTTGAATGGTTACCTGCATTTCTCCTGGGCGACTGGTATTCTCAACACGTTCCCTTTAGACGAAGAAGGATGTGGAGAGAAATAGCATCAATTAGGAATATTTCTAGGATGTACAGTTCATTTTCCATTCCACATCAAAATTGAACAGTTTAAGTCAAATTAACTCAAAAATGAAACTTCTGGAAGCAGGACAGTGCACAGAATACGGTGACTGGCAAAAAAGCAAGATCATACATATCTGATAAGTCGCCTATGTTCTTGCTTAAACATTACTGATGTCGCTGATCATAATCCCAACTTTTCAGAGAAGACACAGGGCACTTTTCAGTGTCATTTCAAATGGGGCAGCTGGTCATCGACTTGGCAGGCTTTAGAATCATTGAGTTTTAAGGAAATTGATTCTTAGGGAAATTCTTAGGGAAATCGAAAGAAAGTAGACATAGGCATGACCTAATGATATTTCACAGAAAATATCAAGAAATGCCGTGTATACTGTGGACAAGAGACTCTTTTAAGAAGAAAGCTAGAGGTAATCACTTTTTAAGTTGGGAACAAAAACATTAAAAATTTAAATGAATCCTAAATGTAACCCAATCTATAAAATAAGCTGATCATGACACTGACTTCTATAATTTATTTCTTAAAAATAATACTCCTTTTGAAGTTATCTGAAATGTTTGACAAATCTTATCACCAATGACACAAATGAATCCAGGGGTCTAGTCCTATGAGACGAAAATGGAAAACAGTTATCTAGCTTCTTTGCAAAAAGGTAGCTTCCAGGCTC